TGATTCATAGTGACCCTATGAACAAAAGGCCTGAAGTCCCTCTACAACTATCAACAACATTTATCAAAGTTCATCAAGTTTCCGGAGACATGTTGTTTAGGAAGTGGATGCCACTCCTGCTTCCAAAGAGCTGCCTAGAAAGCTTTATATTTTTAAAGTAAACTGCATAAGACTTTCTTTCTTTCTTAATAACAATAACAAAATACGAATAATAATGAATCATTATTATTAGTTCATTAAAATTATTAATAAAGTAGTACTAATAAGTTTAAAATAAGACTTTCCACATGGCTTTATTTATTAAACTCTCCATTTTAGAGTGATCCTTGGAATGAGTTTAGAGTTGAGAAGGGTTGCCCAGTGAAGAGAGCTCCTATGTACCTTTCACTCAATGAATGCTAACATTTTACATAGTCACAGATGTTTGTCAAAATAAAGAACTCCTAAAAAAAAGAACTCCTGAAGGTTGGTTTTAATTATTATTCTTTTTCTTAATTTTGTTGTTGAAAATATATACAGCAGGACATGTGAAGACTCAACCGCTTTTTCCATGACACTGATTCCATTCTTTGAGTTGTGCAACCTCTAACCCCCTTGTCTGAACTTTTAATTCCTCTGCAAATATAAACTTACAGGCCCTTAAGTATCTTATCTAATCTTTCAAGCTGTTGTTGTCAATTTGACAGAGCTTGGAAGAGCCTGGTGCTCCAGGCAGACATTCTTTAACACTTAAGCTAACCCACTATTTAGTTTTAAGAAGACTGGGGCCTCCTAAGGTTTTAAAGGAGCCTTGTTCTTGTGAGGCGGGGGAAGCCAGCAACACTGAGAGAGTCATAGTCTCCCTGTGTTGCATAAATGTTGTTTACAATTTAGTTGATTGAAATTCGAAGCACACTTTCTTTTTCCCCTCACTGAAATGGTGGTTTTGTGTGTTCCCCTGTCAGAGTACTGAAGTTATTTAATCCGTAATGTTCTGAAGTGTATTGTTGTTGTTGTTAAGTGCCATCGAGTCATAGGCGACTCATAGCGACCTATGAATGAAAGTCCTCGACAGTTACATGACTTTCATCCTTTCTCCATTGAAGTGTATTACTGGTAGCTTATTTAACCGCGTTTAAGAGTGCATTTTACTATGAATGACAAAGTCTCTATAGGTAAAGGTGTTCAGAGTTTTGGTTTTCAAGTGTTTTTTTGAAGTTGAGTAACTCTGCTGAAGGATTTACTTCTTAGCTGTTTCTTGATGGTTCCGTATAGTATTCTACTCTCCCTACTAGGCTGTCTTACTTTCTGGGGTTAAAGGGTAAAAGTGAGAGATGTGCCTACCATCTTCCTCACAGGGAGTAATATGCCATTAGAACGTTTCTCTGAAGAGAGCTGTCATCTCTCTCATTCTAAATTACAGCCCCCCCAGGGGTAGCTTGGTAAAGAAGCATTTGGTCTAAAATGGTCTTTTTCTCGAGCCGAGTAAAATTACCTCGGATAACTAGGCAGCTCTGAGTGTCAGAACGGTGTCGCGTTAGAGGGAGGGTCTCTCCTACCAGCTTCCATGCCCACTCCACCACTGAGCAGTCCTGCTCCTTCCTCAGGCCATGTCCTCTAAGACTTCTTCCCTCAAGTGCAAGACAAGGGGCTTCAGTGACCACCTGCCAGCTACAGAATTTCTCCATGATTCTCAGACACAAATTTTGTTGGTGATGACGGTGGTGTTCCCAAGGTTGATGGTGACACTGGCTTCATGAGTGTATACTTATATGTTTAAACATATCCAATTGTGTGCTTTAACTATATGCCTCTTACAGTGTGTCATGTGTACTTTAATAAAGCTGGTTTGTTTGTTTGTTTTAATATTTCCTCCAACTTCTAGAATGATCTCTGGGACAAAGTTAAATGTTATTGTTGTGTGCCATTGAGTTGACTACAATTTACAGGGATCCCATGAATCATGGCTCTAAACCTTGCCCTACCCTGAGCCAACTGCAACCATCTCTGATACCCCTGACTCCACTGCTATAATCACTGTGCCAATCCATCTCATCAAAGATCTTCCTCTCTTGTGCTGAACCTCCCAAAGCATGAGGTCCTTCTCCTGACAATATGCCCAAAGTATGTGAGACGGAGTTTAAAAATCTCTTGCCAAGGAGCAACTTAGTTTCACCCTCTTCAGGACAGACCTGTTTGTTCTCTTGGCAGTCTGTGGTATGTTTAATAGTATATTCAATGGTATGTTCTCCAACACCACAATTCAAAGACTTGATTCTTCTCCTGCCATTCTTATTCATTGTTCAGATCTCAGAGACATAGCAAGCGATTGAGAAGACCATGGCCTGGGTTGAGTGCACCTTAATCTCTAAACCGACACCATTGCTCTTTAGCATTCTGTTTAAATGAGTTAACTGAGTAGAGACAAATATGTCCATGTAAGATACAAGTATCGATTCCTTCCTGTCCAAAGCAAAGTAGAGTGAAGAAAATGAAAGACTCTAGGAAACAGTCTGCTACTGAAAGCCTCCATTTAGACTGCAGTAGCAGGCCCAGGACAGACTGAGAAAAACGTAAAATGAAATTAAAAAATCATAAAAAGACCATGCTTAGTAGTCTGGTAAAGAGTGGTAGAATTCTGGAGACTGTGACGCTCAGACATCATTCAACCCTGGAATTGAGCCCACTCCCAGAGATCACCTTGGAGCGATCTGCCCAGTAAACATTAACACCTGTAATAGGCCCCTCAGAACAATTAACCATATGTGCCCAAAGAGACAGCATTTGCCCCACGCCAACGTGAGAAGGCAGGAAAGGGCAGACAAGATGGGTGAGGGGGCAGAGAGGGAAAAGTGTTGTTACTCATCAGAACTGTGGTCAAGAAACAAAATTTGCTCTCTAAACTTTCACCCAAGTTACACTTAAAATGTTCAAAAATTATACCTGAAGAAACCAGCTTAGGGAAAATATATTGAGAAAGTAGAAAGGATGATGTCCTATTCTGACATGGAACTGTTTTTATTGTAAGTTACAGAAAAATAGCAATCTTTTCTAGAACTTTCAGACTCTTACCACGGCTTGAATTTTCTCCGCCTTCAGCCCCTCTAGGGCCTCTTTTCTCACTGCAGTTCTAGGCACATCCTGTTTTCTTTTTCATGGCCAAGCATTCTTGTATTTCCAACACAGTGGATCCAATTCATGGGGAAATGTGTCTCAGTGACGATTTGTCTTTGAACTTTTAAGTGTTCACGATCAGAACTGTTCTTACAGGGGAACTTCACACAGTGATCGAGTCAGAAGATGCTGAGAGATGGCCGTGGAGATGGCTACCTGGCTCTCTTATCCTTCTACTGGGAAGGGCCCTTCCTCACCCTAGGAGTTAAGGAACTGTGCTGCAGACCCTGAAGTGGGAGGTTTTATCTGCCAGCTCCTCTGTGGGAAGAGGGTGGGCAATCTTCTCTCCCGTGATTTTCAGTTTCTGAAAACCCGCTGGAGGGTCAGCTATGAGTCAGTTCCAAGTTGACAGCAAGAATGAGTGACTGAGTAATGGCCCTCACTACTTAAGATGGACATGCAATTCTTCCACTGTAATGTCACTGCTATTCCCTTATATACCACAGCTATTCTGTTATATATTCTCTCTACTTCCACATAATCCAAATGTTTCCTCTTCAATTTGGACTTCTCCAGAAACTTCTTTACTTGGTTCACTGTCTACACCCTCTGTAAGAGTCACCATTCCTGAGTCACTCAGCTGCTTAGAAAGCATCTGAGGCTCCTGTTTCTCAGTTTCGTCAGGTGTAAGCTCTTCTGCTGTGATGAGGAGGCCTCTGACCACTGAGTGCATCTTCTCTTATTTTTACCTTTCTCATCACTGCCAGGATCAAGTGTGCTCCACGTGGCAAGTTTCCTCCTTGCCTTTATTCCACACGATGCTTCTTTTTCTTATTTTCTCGTGTTTCTGTACCTCTTGTTTAAGGAAAGTGTAACCAGGGTGCTCTTTAGAGGCAAGGATGGTGAAACATTGTCTCACATACTTTGGACATGTTGTTAGGAAAGGCCAGTCCTTGGAAAAAGACATCATGATTGGAAAGGTAGGAGGATGGGATCCCTCCACAAGATGGATTGACACGGTGACTTGAACACTGGGCCTGAGTCCATCAGAGATGATGATGGGGACACAGAAGAGGGTAACGTGCAGATTGTTGTTTGTAGGGTCCCTGTCGGTCAGCGTCGTCGACTCAACAGTACCTTACAACAACAAAGCCTAGAAAACCTCTTGAAAACTAGGCACCAAATAAATGGCTTTCTTTGGGTAGAAGAATTATTAGCCATTAAATAAAACACTTCCTTTGTGTCCTACCTTTGTAATAATCAGCAGTGTCATTGTTATAATCAGAAAGACATTTTCATTTTGGGAAAAGTCACAGCAACAGGTTATCAATTTGGTGCAAATGCAGATGGATCACCTTAGAGACAGCCCAGAATGGAACATTAAAAGACCGTCTGCTGTGTTTTAATGTAGAGTGAGGACTGGAGTCGCCTGGCTACGGGGAGACTCCACAGATGTGGCCTGAATGATTGCAGCGTTTCAGGGCAAACATTAGAAAAATAAACAAATGAGGAAGCTAATGGAATGTGATAGACAGGATGCTGGAGTAATTACTATAAATGCTGTGTCCTTTTCTTTGTCAGAGACCCAGAAAGGACTTTCACCTCCAGGTCTGTTAATCTGGCTTCTATCACAGGCAAGAATTAGCAGCACTTCATGTTCGAAATCATAAGTATATGACTTGCCCTTGGTATGATCTAGCAATTCTGTGTTCTTTCCACCCAAGTTTGTTATCTCTTCCTAGGGATGGAAAATGTACCAGTTGGTGATATCACACCAGTAGGTCTGTAACCTTGAACATTTCATTATGCAGGTGGGAATGTTACCATGTGGGAATTCACTTGAGTTCTCAGGGGACCAGCTGTGGGTCCTTATAAATAAAGTTCAGGAGAGCCTCTGACTTCTGGCCTCTGGAAAAATCCCTCAACCATGAGGTTGATCCTGTTTTTTGGTGCCCTGTTGGGACACATCTACTGCCGAGAAACGTTTGTGGGGTAAGTTGTACCTTCTGGGGCCTGTTTGAATTTTGCCAACCAGCTTCATGGTTACGCTCCAGGATGCTGAAATTCTCACCATGTTCTTGCAGAATAGTGAGTCCAAGTGTTCAACATTTTCAGAGAAATATTCTCAGATTGAAGGAGTCCTGGTGGTACAAACAGCCGAGTGTCTGGCTGCTAGCCAAAACATTGGCAGTTCAAACTCACCCAGAGACTCGGCAGGATAGAATCCTGGCCATCTGTTGTCTGTAATGATGGCAGCCAATCACACCCTATGGGGCAGCTTTACTCTGTCACATGGACTCACCCTGAGTTGGAATCAACTCAGTGGCACCCAACAACTCTTAGATGGGGGGTACTCGCGACTTGTGCTGCTCACAGGAGTAAGAGATGAGTAATCGTTAAAGGGAAAAGAAGAAAACAGAAAATACAAAGCCCTCTTTTTTCTTTGTCCTGACTAATTTTTTCCTCCAATGGTGAGAATGTGGGGGTTGGTAGACACTAGTGAAAATCGAGATATTTGGCCACTTGAAGGTTTCTCTTCCATCCTCTTCCTCTGGACTCTATCCTCCGTATCAGCTCTTGCCTCTACCTTGAAATCAAGGGCTGAGGCAGTGGAACCCCACAAAGTGGGAGGACCAGGGAGGACCAGAGTTTACTGTTTCCCCAAGGGGCTTTCAGCCCAAGATTTTGTGAATGGCTCTGGGCAGCATTCTTGGCTGAATGTTCCAGAGAACAAATGAAGTGGTCAAATAACTTGAGTCCAAAAAAAGTGAGTATCATTATCACTCTATTCAGTTAAATCTCGGAACCAAAGAATTGTTTTAAAAGGATAGAATTTTAGGAACTTTTAGTAAATTAAGGAACTCTGGTGACCTTGTGTGTTACATATTGTGCTGCTGACTATAACAGCAGTTCAAGTCCACCAGTTTCTCTAGAGGAGAAAAATAGGCAGTCTCCTGTAAAGATTTACAGTCTCAGAGACGGAGGGCTACTATGAGTCAGAATCAGCTTGATGGTAGTGGGTTTGATTATTTTGGTTTGTTAAATGAGAGTGAGTTTTAGATCTATAAACTGTGAGAGGGGAATCTAAGTGATTCACCCAATTAGCATGATTTTTAAAAAATGTTTCTTTTTTTAATTATTATTATTCTCTTTAATGAAATTTTACAGAGATTTTGGATTTCCATTCATTCATTGTTGCACTTTCATTCTTCTCTTTGAAAAGTAAAAGAAAAACTCTTTAACTGTTAAGTTTAAGTCCACTCCACTATGCAGCCTTCGTTCAGGACTCATGTCATGACAATAATACCTAATCATATATACATTTTAAACAGTTCTCTCCCTCATGTTTCAATGCAGTATACATAATTTATCCCATCTTTCCCAGTCTCCTCACCAACCCCTATGTCAGTTCCATTTTACAACAGCGGCACTATGCAGTCTTTGTCCTTTTGTGACTAAGATATTTCACTCAGCATAATGTCCTCCAGGGTCACCCATTTTAAATAATATTGCATGAGTTCCTTGTTTTTCAACGCAGCGTAATATTCCATTGTGTGAATATATCACAGCTTTTCTATCTATTCGTTTGTTAATGGACACTTAGGGTGTTTCTGACTCTTTGCTATTGTGAACAAAGCCACGATAAACATGGGTGTGCATTAGCATGATTTTATAAATTGTTAAATATCCCCTTTCTTTTGGCAAAGCAACTCAGAAGTCTACTGCTTCTTCAAGTGCACGCCATGAAACATTAGCCTGCTGCATTACCTTTCGCTGGGTCTTCCCATTTTAAAGGGGCTCCAGACAGCAATCATCTATTATTAGCCAAAAGGAATGAGACACAAGTAGAAGAATTCTCAGGCCATTTGGAGCAGGTAGATATTGGAGGCAGGAGAGAGCCTGAACGATTTCACATTCAATGATGTACTCATTAGCCTGGGGCTCCAGAAGCCGTAGACTGTGGCTTCCACAGCGTCCGACTCCTGTAGCGATCTCTGGCTCACTGCAGTGGCTGGGAAAGTTAGCCTGCGCTGGATGAAGAGTTAGATGAGGAACCTCTGTCCCCAAGGAAAAGGCTCCCTCGGAATTTGGCTACACTGTTCAATCCTTGTCTTAAAGCAACAACAACAAAACCCAAAACCCCGCCTCACCTCATCGCGGTGAGTTGGAGCTGACTCCTAGCTGACCCTCTGTGGGGTTCTGAGGCTTGCACATCTTTCTGTCAGAGTGACCAGTGGATCAGAATCATCTGAAAGGTTGGCAGCTGCACAGTTTCCCTATAGACTCTGCCACCAGAGCGCCCTAATTCTTGTCCAGAGGAGATGCATTCGCCTATTTGACACTTCTCTTTCTCGTCAAGGTGTCCTAAGTGAATGGTCATTAAGCTGTTTTCAACTCAAGGTGACTCTCTGTGTTGCAGGGTAGGACTGTGTTCTATGTGATTTCCGAGGCTGTGATCTTTTGGAAGTCAATTACCAGGCTTTTCTTCCAAGGTGCCTCTGTGGTTCAAGGTTCAAATCACCAACCTTTCTGTTAGTGGTCAAGTATTTAACTGTTTATACCACTCAGGAACTCTGCCAAGGTATTCCATTGTTACTGTTTTATATCCGGGTGGTTTCATCTCAGAGGGGACCTTATAAGACAGAGGATTTCTCAGTCTGAAATCTTCACAAATCCAGATAGCCAAGTTTTTTCTCCTGCAGAATGGCTGATGGGTTCTGACCGCCCACCTTCGGGTTGGCAGCAGAGTACGTAACCACCGCTCCACCAAGGCTACGTCAAGGTGTCCTAACCCAAACCCGCGGTGTTGGGTTGACTCCACCTCACAGCGACCTCCGTTGGGATCCTGAGTCCGTAAATTGTGAGGCAAGGAGACTGCCCACCTTTCTCCCAAGAAGCACCTGGTGGATTTGAAGCCCTGACTTTTTAGTTAGTAGCACAACATGAAACACTCTATGCTACCAGAGTTTCTTTTTTGTTGTTGTTCTTTTTTTACCCCCTTTTAATTGTGATTTTAATGAAAATTCACAGAAAAGTTGGATTTTCATTCATTCATTGTTGCACATTTTCCTTCCTGCCCCACCCCTGCCATCAGAGTTCCTTGATTTACAGAACTATGGGATTTGGTGTAAATCTCTACATCTGTGGTCATTTGAAAGCTAACACACCCTGTTTTTTGTCTCTAAAGAAAGGTGATAATAATGTCAGTTAAATAATAATAATGTTAACACGTGTGCACTGCAACACTAGGCTCCTTGAAGGTATCCTAGAAAGTCATCATTCTCCAATCTGTGTGTAGGTGCACACACACACACACACACACACACACACCCTGAGAGAGGGCACGGTGATGTACCTGGGGCCCTATTATCCTTAGACATGCAGGTGCACACACACACACACACACACACACACACACACACACACACACCTCCCTGAGAGAGGCGCACAGTGATGTGTCTGGGGCACCATTACCCTTAGTCATACCCCAGATTTGGGCGCATGACTAGGATTTGGAAATATAACTCTGTCGCTTGAGCAATTGACGAAAACCCAAAAATACCCCCCCAGGTCTGCTCAGATGTGGATTTCATTCCTCTTGCAAGCGTCAAGCTAATAATTCCACTTTAAAAACAACCAAACTTATTTCTGAAAAGCAGGAACAGACACGTTCTAAAAGTCAATGCTTTATGAGCAGCAGGTGTTAGCTGACAATCATTAGATAAAGGAGAGACAAGTTTAATGGCAAGCTCTCTGCCAGGAGCAGGCACCCTTCTTAATTATTATTTAGATAATATTTCTTTGGGGAAGATAAAGCTATTCTGTCAACTCGTCATTGTGGGGATGTGGCGTAGCATAATATTTATTAGTTTCTGGAATGTCAACGTGCTTATTGACTACTGCCTGAACTTCTTACATGTGGAGACCAACTGGGACAGAAAGTCACAGGGAACAGTGGCCAGGTTTTGTTTTTAAAGTCATGTCTATGATTCAATACCCTTTAGAGACCAAGTTCTTGAGATTCTACCAAGGGATGAGGAACAAATAAAGAATCTGGTGGAGCTGGAGTCTGAAGAACATCTTCAGGTATTTATCCTGGTGGGAGTCTCTGCTTCCTGGAGCTGGTGTCCTGCAGTTAGATAACATTTCAATCTCTCACTTTAGACCATCTCATCTCCTTCACAGCTTGGGTTGCTAATCAATGGGGCTAGGATCAGAAGACACAGACTCTAGTCCCAACTGTGTGACAATGAGCAGGTCACCTATCTTCCTATTTAATAAAATGGGGGCAAATACACACTCACCTCTCTCTAGGTTTACTGTCAGAATGAAAAAGAGAGGTCAAATGTGAAAATTACTTTGAAGAACTGTTGAACACCTTTAATGCGTTTTTTTCTCTTCTAAATAATTTATAGTATTAATATCCTGTTACAAAATGACTTGGATCCCTTGAATGCCAGCTTTTTATTTTTTTTAATAAAAAGCACTGCCATAATTTAATATTTTCCTTCTGCTAGTTGAGGGAAACACAATATAACACATCTGCAGATGCTTGGGTATTTAAAAACTACTGTTGCAACAGCATTGGGATTCCACAATGATTTGGTCTTGGAAAGGTCAAGGTAGAATGATACAAACTGATTTCTCAAAACATAACAATGTTCAGCTCTTTATTTCCCTGGACTAGCCTACTCACGGCCTTGGTTGACCTATCCCTTTCAGCTTGATTTCTGGAAACCTACTACCACCCCAGGGCAGACAGTCCATGTCCGGGTTCCCTTTGTCAACCTCCAGGCAGTCAAAGTTTTCTTGGAGTCCCAGAGAATTGCTTACTCCATCATGATTGAAGATGTCCAGGTAACTATCCTAATCAGACCGTGGATCACGTGAATGGGAAGTCTTTTCTCCTCAGTTACTCTGTGCATGTGCTGTGTCCACCATGAGTGCTGTCCTGTGCTGTGAGCTACTCACAAAGGGAAGAGAGGGGATACTGTTCCTCTCCTTTTTGCATTGGGCAAAAATGGAATTTGATAACAAAAAAAAAATTAGGGAAAGAGCAAAGGCGAGACTTCAATATGGACCATGAAGTGAAACCCAAAGGATTCTTATTAATAGAGGGAAAACCAGGTGCTTCTTATTTCTATTTAGCTGGAGGTTATCCTGGGTCATGCTCTTCCTGCCTGCCTGCCCACCTGACAGTCTGATCGCCCAATGATAGCCCGGATTGCAACATCTCAATGCAGAAGTTGCATTAATATTCCATTTCCTTAGGAAGCAGAGTATTTTTCTTGCTATACGACTCTGCTAGAATAAGGGGAAGTCATGACCCCCACAGCCCACAGGCAAGGGAGACATATCTTGACAATAGGGACCCCATGTTCCGTCTTTTCCTTCCTGATTGTAGATTTAAATGTATTGCTGTAAATGAATCATGAGCATAATTTGTTTGTCTTAGGTTCTGTTAGACAAAGAGAATGAAGAAATGCTATTTAATCAGAGAAGAGAACGGACAGGAAACTTCAACTTTGGGGCGTACCATAGCTTGGAGGAGGTGAGTGTTTTAAAATGAGCACAAGACACGGGCCATTCTCCCTTCCCATGACACGGGTTAGATACCCACTGGTGACTTAATGACCAAGAAGGTGTTCTCATTTCCTGACTTCTTCAATTTTTCCCTAGGATGCTACAGCCTTGCTTCCTGTAGCCAATATTCTGTAAGTGTCCAGGCAATCTTAAGCAGCATGTAGACACTCTTCTTGGGCTCACGCTCTTCCTCTGGGGCCTCCTTGATGATTATCATCATGTGCTGGTCAAACCCCATTTAGTAACAGTGATTTCATGGTGACCCTTGGTATATAGGCTCAGAGGCGGCCGTGACTGTGTTTCTGGCTAAGACATCATGGCACCAAAACCCTCTGCAGTTTCTGCTGTCTTTCCTAGTTTTGCTTGTCTTGTGAAGCCACTTGGGTACCCCAGCAATATTGTGGTCACTCTTGGTGGCACGGAATTCTTTTAAAGGCCCCCAGGGGTCTAATGACACTGAGTGATTTTGAGGGCTGCTTGGGTGTCTGGAAATAAGAGACCTTCAGAAGACCTATCAGTCGGTAAAGGTTCTGGTTGACATTGAGTCCTTGCAATCCTGATTGGAAAGAGTAGAATTGCTCCATGGAGTTTGCAAATCATTAAACATCATCTTTCTCTTGTGGGCTCAAGTGTATTAAATCAACTATTATTCTAAAGTGCAAAATGCTCTCAAAACAGTTTTTTTTGTTCTGGGTTTTTTGGTTTTTTTTTACTAACTTGCTCTGTGAGAAACTCTGACCTTATAGTCGTTTGGGGTCAAACCTGTCATAAACTAAGCAGATATTCAGCATTATTAATGAGATCGAATATGGAGCAATAGAGCATCTAGAATATGCACTCGATCCTTCCCGTAACTTTCCTAAACTGCCCTCCACGTTCAGAGTTCTACGTCTGTGTGGTCCCAAGGGTCTGGGAGAAGGGACAGTGACCAGTACCCGCAGGTGGGAGGGTACAGAGCAGGGGGGACACCAAGGTGCGCTCTCCTGGCCCCTTGGAGACAAACGCTGACAAGGCTGACAAGAAGCTGTCCAGACCCGCCCAGCCAGGCCTCTGGCCGCCATGGCCTCCGCCTCGGGGCCCCTGACGCGCAGAATGGCAAAGAGCTTGGAAACTAAGCTCCCGAGGAGCCGTGACGGGAGCGCCCTGAGATGGACGCCCCATTGTCCCCGGGCTTGAGCGGCCCGTCTCATTGTGGGGCGTCTCCTCAGAGGCCCAGTCCCTTGCAAGGAGGGCCAGGAGGTTCCTAACAGGAGAAGCCCCCCTCTGCTTGCTGGGGCTGAGGAAAATCTACAGGAAAGACAGGCTCCTGCCAGGCTCTGGAGGCAGAAGAGCGCCCCAGCCACGGCCGCAATATGGCGTCTGCTCGCGGCAGGGCCTGCGGCCCGGCACAGGATCCATCCCAATCCTGAAACATCCGCCGTCCCCCCGATCCGCTTTGTCCCCGGGGAACGAGAATGGGGTCGGGGGGAGCAGGAGGCACTAACGGAGCCCGCCGGTGGTGTACGGAAACGTGTCTTATGTATTTATTGGAAACCTTTCAGATTTCTCAAAAAATGGATGACCTCGTGGCTGAGTACCCGGATCTAGTGAGCAAAGTGAAGATTGGCTCTTCTTTTGAGAACCGGCCCATGAACGTGCTCAAGGTAGAGCGAGCCGGGCCGCAGGGGCTCCTGCTCAGCCTGCAAATCTTCCTTCCCCCCTTTATTCACTGGCCTTGGCGGGTGCAGGACCCCCTCCCACCTTTTCTGCTAGAATCTGGTGCAGTGAACCCACTGGGGTCGGCTGCCCTTCCTTTTTCCTTAGCCTTTCTTTTTAAAATGAACCAAATGAGGTATTTGGGTGTTGTTGTTGTTGTTGGAGGTTTGTTCCCCCCAAAAAAGAAAAGAAGGTGCCCTTATTCTTCCTAAAGCAACCTGAGTTGCATTTTGAACCATGCAGAAGAAAATGGGGCCCAGCGAGTGGCCAAAACAAATGCACTGACAAGAAGGCACTTTTTGTTCTTTTCTGTGAGAATACACAAAGCAGAACTTGACTAGTTCAACACCTTCTCCATGTCTAATTCAGTGGCGTGGACGACAGCCGTCCAGTTGTGCAGCCACGTCTTGCTTTCTCCTTTTCCACTTTGTTTACTCCCCTCTTAACCGCCAAACAAAATCAAAACAAATCAGCCATAGAGTAGGACCCCACACAGTGACCCTGCAGGACTCTGCAGAATGGCTCCACTGGATTTCCTGTGCTCATTTGATTCACCTTTGTCCTGCCCTGTGCTGGTGGGCCTGAACCACCATTTTTATGGTTACCAGCCAATGTCCCTGTATCCTCAATTTTTTTATTGTCTTTTAAGTTGCTATTGTCAACGTGATCCACTTACAGTCTTTTTCTTAGCACAGCACAGGGCTTCAGGCCAACCTTCTTTACTAATTAAGCTAAATCCTCATTTGGTTAAAAGAGGATGGAAAGCCTCCAAGAAATGGTGGGCATTTTTGCCCTTCTTTCAAGAAATGGTGGGCATTTTTGGTATAAGGTGTTTGGTTTTGAACTGATTCTTGATATTGGCCTAAGGATTGGACCTGTCAGTCATAGTGCTGTTAATTTCCAACTTGCTCTGAAGAAGCACAGAAGATGATTATCCAGCTTTCCTAGAAAGAATTTAAGGGGGAACCCCCTTCTTGGCAAAAACCCCTTACAACAAACCACATACATGCGCACACACAAAACGGTAATGTCCTAACTCCTTGTTAAGTGGAGAAACATTGTGGCCAGGAGTCAACTGACTCAGTAGGACAGACGGGTTTTTCAAGGGCGTTTTCCCAGAGCCCCGTGGAGTGGTTTGCCTATTAGATGACACTGGGCACGTTCACCAATGTTCACTCCCTTCCTTCCTATTTCCTCTTCCTGTTTCTCCTACAACTGGGTCACAAACTCCAGTTTACTGCCTCCCTGGGAGACTCCTGGCCTTCCTTTCTCCAGCCTGGTTCAATAGCTGAGAAATTATGTGTTTATTTTTTAAAGTTCCCTGCATTTTACATTTGAGCTCTTTGGGGGTTGGGGGAAACACAAAACATTCACCACGCAAGCTCTCCAAACGCATGAAATGAAATGATTTTTGGCAAGGATTTGCATTTCTCATTTACCTTATCTGCTATGTTTGGAATACTGCACAGAGATAGAAGTTGATGATGCAAAAATAATCTTCTCCTCTCCAGTTACTGATCCAGCTGGCAGAGTTTCCGTTCCAAAGAAGACCAAGTCACTTTGGTCATAACATTTTCAAGCCTGGGAAGCTGCAGTAGAGCCTGCCAGCCCCCTTTTATGAAGGACTGCGTAGTTTAGCACAAATATTTTCATTAGGAAAATAATGCAATCATTGCGTACAGTTGGGAAATAGAAAAACAAAGAAAGCAGTAGGGCAGAATCTTTGTAATTCAACAATGATGGGTTCGTAACTATTAACATTTTGAGTTACAGTTTTCTACCTTCTTGCTATTTTTTTCCTTTTCCCTTTCCTTTGTCATATATGTATTTTTTATATACATATGTCAGTATGTATGTATGTGTGTCTATACATATGGCTTAAAAAATGGCTTCATAGTGTTTATTCTGTAATCTGCTTTCCCTCCTAGTCTATGACATCTGAGAACATATTTCATGTTAATACATTATCTGCAATGTGTTCCACCCCCCCCCCCGCCCCCAAACATTGAAAAGAGAAAAAGGCGACTGCCCCTCATGTTTGCATCTGTGCTTCTGTTAAAGAAAAGGGAACTAAACAAGGAGAAAAGCCCCAGTAATGAGAGTCCTTCAGCAATCTCACTGCCTAGTTCTCTCTGTCAGGCATGAAAGGGGGACTGAAAGGACGGTACGTGGGTCCTAAAGGGGAGTTCTTCACATTTCCTCTCTTGTTTTCTTCTTCAGTTCAGCACCGGTGGGGACAAGCCAGCCATCTGGCTGGACGCTGGGATCCATGCTCGTGAGTGGGTTACACAAGCCACTGCCCTGTGGACTGCAAATAAGGTCATTTCCCTCCAAATTCCTCAGTAATTGTCTCTTTCTGGGGTCAGGAGCTACCTAACTCGGCAGTCTCCACAGTCAGGGTTCTCTGCAGGACAGACAGGGAATGAGTCCAGTCAACTATTTGGGTGTCACTTCACTCAGGACCCTTTATACACGTGGCCCTCTTCCCCACCACCACACCACTGTGTGAGTTCTTCAAAGATACTGATCGGGACTGATCAAAAGGGTGGCAAATAGGATGGATCCTGGACTTGAGCCCAAGAGCAGAGTGGGAATAATGGCTTTGTTACCTGGAACCCAGAGGGCTGAAACATAAAGTACTCAAAATCCATCAAGTCCGGAAGGGGATCAGGTGACAAATAGAGAAAGGTCCAAGAACCAAATTGGAGTTAGTTAAGGGTGTTTGGCTTGTTTAGAAAAATTTTCCCCATAGGATTTTGAAGTCAGGACATAGAAATATCTTTCTTCAACATGCTTCTTGGAATTAGAGTCAGAACATGGGACTGGGTGTGACCTCGTCTGGTATTTCTTAAGTAATTAAAAAATGACATGCTATAAATCAGAATGTTAATTCATGAGCAAAGGCAATCAATCCACTTCAGATCATTCAAGCATGTGCTACCACGTGCATACCAACTGATACATTTTTCCCTTCAATTAAAAGGCGCTTACCTTTAGGGTATTATGAAATGGATATTTAACAGTTGAATAATAATGCCTTAGGATGGCTGAGCACAGGAAATGAATAAATTTTAATCCAGCAGAAACATCGACTCCATTGCAATTGATCGCAAGGAAAAACGTTAATTCCACAAATGGAAGTTCACCACTTTTTCTGCATCTTTACAAAGATCCTAACATGTTTAAGTAATCAGATGTTGGGTATGAGTTCTTTTGGGAAGTTACCCTGTGTGGTGATTTAGGAAAATGAAAAACTTCCTCTGGCTCCTGGGTACCCTGGGAGGGCATCAAGAATCTTTAGTAAACCACACACCCCGTTACCCACTATAGCAAAATACCTCACTCGAAGTCACAGGAAGAGAGGGACTCTTTTTGAGGGACGGCTAATATGTGATATTTGAATTTTTTTTCTTTTTTGGGGGGCTCAGGCCGGAGCCAGCCGGCTGGACTGCCTTGATTTTCTATTTAGTATAATTATTTAGACCAGAAGTGAACGTATGAAATCCCCTGCCTGACCCATAGCAACCCTATACGACAGAGCAGGGCTGTTCCATAGGGTCTCCATGCCTATAGAGCTTTTTTTAGAGTTTACTTCTTCATCTTTCTATTAAATGGTTGGTGGGTTTGAGCCACTGTCCTTTTGATGAACAGTAGAGGGCTTAAGCATTATGTCACCAGAGTGCCTTGAAGTATAGACAGTAGCATGTTAAATACATTAACATTGCAAGAGACTTGATTGTGTTGTATATCTGGAACATTCTCCTTCTCCAACAGTTCATCTTTGGGGGGAAAAGTGTTGTCTTAAAATTCTTTCTTTGTGCTCAGCGGGGAGTGTGAGGCTGACTGTATGTGATCTTTGCTCAGATCGCAGCTGATTATGGGAATGATCCTTCTCTCACTTCCATTTTGGACACAATGGATATCTTCCTACTGCCTGTCACAAATCCAGATGGATATGTGTTCTCACAAACCAAAGTAAGCCGGGCCTTTTCTCTCCAGCAAGATCCAGGGAGATGTCCAAATAATGTGAAAGGCCTCTTTTTGTTGTTGATAGAGCCTGAATGGCCTGCCTGCCCTGGGTCTGGAGGTGGGGTCTAGGGTGGTCGGAGTGGGAGTCACTTCTTGTCTCAGCTCTCAGTGGCTTTGTCACCATGGGCAGAGCCCATTTCAGTGACTTGAGCCAGGCTATGAGCGCTCAGTGCTCACGGGGAGTCTCCAGGAGATTTGTTCCAATTATCTCTGCGTTTTCCATGGCAGGATTGATAGAAAAGAGGTGGCGGATGTTACCTGCTGACAATTAGATTGCGGGAGGATTTAGGTAGCAGTCTAATGCAGCTAGTGTTTTACTCAGTCTGCCAACGAGACCCTCTGTAATGTCACTCAAAAGAGTTACCATGCCTTCCCCGCTTCTTTTGAAATCTCATTACAAAACACCATTGTGGCAACCATGACCCCACGTATATTCCAAATGAACCAGAGCTTCAAATTTATTTTTGGCGAGCATTGAGTCTGGGAGCATTTTTCAAAGGCACTTGTGTGAATGCTCACACTAATCCGTGTGAGGCCCTAGTAATGGGCACCACAGTCAAGTCGGGGGGACTACCACCCACCAGCTTCCCTCAGGGGGCTCAGAAAGGCATTAAAGACTGACATTCTTAGAAGTTCTAGCTGCCTGTTTCCCCCAGATATTCTGCCGGAGACCTCCTGGCCTCCCTTTCTGTTTTGAGTTTCATGGAACATGGCAGGTTGGGCAGGTATCCTCTTGAGAGGAGGGAATAATGTGGCTCATTGGGTGAGCCATGCAGAGCCCAGGGACATGAGGACAACGCCAAAGGGGACCCCCTCATCAGGTGAATGACCACTTCCCCTCGCTCCCACCCCTGCATTTTTAAGAATCGGATGTGGCGGAAGACCCGGTCCAGGGTCCCCGGCAGCCTCTGTGTGGGTGTGGATCCCAACCGGAACTGGGATGCTGGATTCGGAGGTGAGTGCCCTGGTACCCTGGTCAACCTCTCAGAAGTAACCCAGGCCCTGTCCCCGAGGGTGGTCAGGTTGCTTGGAGGTGAGCGAGGCCCTGTGCCCTGGGGTGGTCAGTCTCTCAGAGTGAGGGGGTTGTGTGTGTCCTATCCCCAGGGGGTAGTCAGGCTGCTCCGAGGTGACCCAAGCTCTGTCCCCAAGGGTGGCCAGGCTGCTCAGAGGTGACCCAGGCTAGGCCCTGTCCCTAAGGGCAGCCAGGTCTCTTGGAGGTGAGCGAGGCCCTGTCCCTGGGGGTGATAAGCTGCTTGGAGGTGAGCTGGTCCCTCTCCCTTGAGAGTGGTCAGCCACTCAGAGGTAAGCAAGTCTCTGTCCCCCAGGGGTGGCCAGGCTGCACGGAGATGAGCGGGCCCCTGTCCCTGGGGGTGTCCAGGCCACTTCTCGGGCCACTTTGCTATCTTGTTTCACTCGCTCTGTGGTGTGGTGCCGTTTGGGAATCAAGCCATTTAAAAACCCATTTAAGAAGCACTTCTTCTGTTCCCCGGCGTGCAACATGGGCTCTGAGAGGCACTTAATGCATTTCAGGTCCCATTTCAGTGTCCCCGCCTGCAGACCCCGGTGTCTTCGCCTGCTGACCCCGGTGCCCCCGTTGCTGAGCCCGGTGTCCCCACCTGCAGACCCTGGTGTCTCCGCCTGCAGACCCCGGTGTCCCCGCCTGCAGACTCCGGTGTCCCCGCTGCTGAGCCCGGTGTCCCCGCTGCTGAGCCCGGTGTCCTCGCCTGCAGACCCCGGTGCCCCCGCTGCTGAGCCCGGTGTCC